ATCATTTTTGAGATGAGGCGACCACATCTGTATGTAGTATTCAAAATGTTATTGTACCATGGTTTTATATAGAGGCAATAAGATATTCTCTAATTCTCTAAACTTTTTAAATTATTCCTAACATTCTATTTGCTTTTTTGACTGCCACTGCACACTGAGTGGATATTTTCAGAGAGAACTATCCACAATGACTCCAAGATCTCTGTTGTATCATGCAAGCAAGGTACTAACAAATTTCAATAGAACTTTATTTACCAAAAGTAAACCTCTTTACAAAGCTGCTGCACCCCTTTGTAGCTCTCACTCAGCCCTGGCTAATCTCCTCCCCCTCCTTCCTGTTTCCTGTACTTCTAGACTCCCAACAGCCAGTGCTCCCAGTTCTAATAATTACAAGCAGCATCTAAAACACCACAATCTCTCTCTTGAATAGTTGGAGTTAAATTTGTCCCCATCATATTGTATGCATAGTTGGGATTATTTTTTCCAATGTGCATTATTACTTTACATTTATCAACATTAAATTTCATTTGCCATTTTGTTGCCTAATCACTTAGTTTGGTGAGATCTTTTTGAAGCTCTTCGCAGTCTGCTTTGGTCTTAACTATCTTGAGCAGTTTGGTATCATCTGTAAATTTTGCCACCTCTCTGTTTACCCCTTTCTCAGTCTAGATCATTTATAAATAAGTTGAATAGGATGGGTCTGAGGACGGACTCTTGGGGAACCCACCTAGTTACCTCTCTCCACTCGGAGAACTGACCATTTATTCCTACCCTTTGTTTCCTGTCTTTTAACCAGTTATCAGTCCATGAAAGGACCTTCCTCCTATCCCAGGACAACTTACTTTACTTAAGAGCCTTTGGTGAGGGACCTTGTCGAAGGCTTTTTGGAAATCTAAGTATACTATATCCATTGGATCGCCGTTGTCCGCATGTTGGTTGACTCCCTCAAAGAACTCTTGAAGATTAATAAGGCATAATTTCCCTTTACAGAAACCATGTTGACTTCACCCAACAAATTATGTTTATGTATGTGACTGACAATTTTATTCTTTCCTATAGCTTTAACTAATTTTCCCAGTATTGACATTAGACTTATCATTCTATAATTGCAGGATCACCTCTAAGACCCTTTTTAAATATTGGTGTCACGTTAGCTATCTTCCAGTCATTAGGTATGGAAGCTGATGTAAAGGATAGGTTACAAACCACAATTAATAGTTCCGCAATTTCACTTTTGAGTTCTTTCAGAATTCTTGTGTGAATGCCATCTGGTCCCGGTGACTTGTTGCTGTTAAGTTTATCAATTTGTTCCAAAACCTCCTCTAAGGACACCTCAATCTGAGACGATTCCTCAGATTTGTCACCTAAAAAGAATGTCTCAGGTTTGGGAATCTCCCCAATATCCTCAGTCATGAAGACTGAGGCAAAGAATAAATTTAACTTCTCCACAATGACTTTATCATCTTAGAGTGCTCCTTTAGCATTTTGATTGTCAAAGGGCCCTACTGGCTGTTTAGCAGGCTTCCTGCTTCTGATGTACTTAAAAAACATTTTGCTATTACTTTTTTAGTTTTTTCCCTACCGTTATTACAAAAGTGACACACACATAAAGCAAGGGCACATGAATTGAGGTGCATATTTTAGGAACAAAAGTGCAGTTAGCAAAACCACCCTATCCTGGGAGTCTGTGTTGGTTATGACAATCTTGTGGACCACTGAGATGGAGGAGGGCCACTCAGGTGACTAACTCTGTCCATCACTGCTCCAACATGTTCCCCTTCCTGAAAGCTCCCCCTATATTTCACTAACACAAAAACAAGCACTTTACCCACATACTGCTGACTAAGTGACTTGGTAGGGGAGGCACAGTACATCTCTAGAGCTGCTGCTTGTGCCATATATCACCTTATAGGTGCCAACAACCCCACCCCCCCCAAATAAAAGGACCAGCTACCACCACATAGTCTGCAGCAAAGACCAGCAATGAAGTCCTTAAACGTAATTTCCAGACCTCTCCCATTTGGAGACAGAGCTGGGGACAGAACTCAAGTTGTTCTTCCTGCTAGTGCAATACTTTAGACCAGGGTAGCCAAACTTACTGGCCCTCTGAGCCACATAGAATAATCTTCAGAAGTGTGAGAGCTGAGGCGTACCTGCCAGGAGTTGGGTCTCGGGGTTTCAGCCCCACAGCTGGTACCTGGCAGGGTTTGGGACTTCAGCCCCCCTGCTGAAGCCCTGAGCCCCAGGCCCAAGCTCCTCTTCCCAACTGGTAGGTGGAGAATGGGGGCCTGTGAGAGCTCTGCTAGCTACACTTTAATGGTAAAAAATAAAATGCAAATGAGCATGCGCACGTTCCAGTTTGCTAGAAGGGGATGCTCACTGAATGCTAATGAATGCATAATACAGTGGTGTAAACGCTTTCATTGAACAGTATTCATTTTGCAGTTTGTATAGAAAACCAGTCACTGAGGGAAATCTATTTTGGCAGATTTGTAGCTTGTTTCCACACTCCTTTCAGCCTTTTAGCTTTCCTTTGATAAACAATCTATCAATTATTTCATTTGTCCACAAAAACAGTGACTAGTTTGTCTGCTTCTAAAAAAAAAAACTGGCATAAGTGTCTGACACCCTTTTTAAAGAGATGACTGACTCCTTTCAAATGCCAGTAGTTTACTACAGTTTCAGGATCTTTACATAATACAGTAAACTTCCTGGAATCAGCCGCTGATCTGTTTCAGCAGCAGCTGAATCGGGGACCCCTGGGGCAGAGCAGCTGGGGTGCTGCCGGGTTGGTCCCGCAGCCCCGAGGGGCAGCGCTACGAGACCAACCCGGCAG